GTAACCACTCATATTATGGTTATAAAGACTGAAATTTTTAATCATTTCTGAATATGCATTTCTTGTGGAGCTTCTGGGCAGAGTTCACTGAACTGCAGAATGCCTATGCATACAGTTTTCTTGTCTTTTATTGTCATTGGGCTGCATCAAAGTGATTATTCAGCAACCACCAGAACTATGGGTTTTTTTCTGAAAGTATTTAAGAGGTACTAAGTGGTATGAAGCCAGTAGTCTCACTTTATTGCATTGTCTGTCTTGCAACACCTATTGTTGGCTTCAGAAAAATACTGTCAGATGCTGCGAGCCAGGCTGGGCCTTGGCCTGCGACTGCAGTCCCTGTCAGAAATCATTAGCTGGTGATCTCTTTGACTAATGTTCCAGCTGATTGTCTGATTCATGTTCAAGGTCTGTAAATGAGGCAGAAGCATCTTTACTGCTCACCAGCTGTGAAATGGCTCATCACAGCTAGATTTTCAGAAATCAAAATAAAGGTATTTCCAATAAAGTTTGACAACAATATCAAGTGTAAAGCTGAGAACGAAACTATGTTTTTGTGTCCTTTAAGGTTACAGTGTTATAAATCAATATTATCTCGTTGTGCTTTTGGCAGAGTAATATATTTTACCAAAACAGAAGTAGTAGCATTAATCTTTTGTTGAGTTGGATAGACATTCTTTATTCAACATAGATTCATACTTTCGATTTTTACTGTTTTGCCCATTATCCCCTGATGTATTAATGTTATATACTAATGAGGTGTGTGCATGTTTTCATGTATGTATAAAAGAAGTACAGGTGTGACAACAATGAAAAATAAAGGGTGGGATTTTGGGGGTGGGGGGTTCTTGGGGGAGGAGCTGGTATATCTGTTTTATGTTAATGGAATAACCCCAGGAGAGTCACACTGGCGTAATGCTGAGATAACTGAGAAGTAAATCTGGGCCTGAGATCTGACTAATATTTTTCTTGGCAGAGGAGGTAAATAAGAAATTCACCGCTAGCTAGAAAATTAGTGCAAGAGCTATACCACAAATAGGCTGTAGTTTGAGGATTTAAGCAGAGCTCATTATTTTATTTTTACACTGTAACTAATTGTAGATACAACG